ATACATCGATTCATATACATCGATTCATATACATCGATTCATATACATCGATTCATATACATCGATTCATATACATCTCGGTATTTCTGAATTTTAATAAAAAGTAACGATACAAATGTAAAACAAAAAATCTCTACACATAGAAATGTTTTTTAGTGTTTATATTATTTAGGCATAAGTTTTGCAATACGACTTATTATTGTTTTCTAATCTACGAATGATATATAATACAGTAATAAGTATAAGATTAGTAATAACACCCTGCTTATCATACAGTAATAAATACAAGATTAGTAATAATACCTGCTTATCTTCCTGCTTATCGATTATTTTATGACTCTGAATAAAAAAGATGCTGACTAAAATCCCTATAAAAAGGATTGCATTAGATATGTGAAAAATATCTAAAAAAGTGCCATTCTATCTAATTTTTATCTTATTTTATTTTATTTGAAAAAAAACATTAAAATTAGACAATTAGACAGAATGGAACTTTTTTAGTCATTTTTTTCGGCATCTTAACAAATTTTACGCAATTCTTTTAATTATAATTTATTATCAGTGTTAGTATTATGTTCATTTTATTTTATTTCTCAATTTCTTTGTGAAATTTTTATACTAATCACATTTAACTTTTGAAAAAAAAGTTTTTCTTAATATGTACCAAAAAATGGTCTAGCGTTATATTCACGAGCCATAACATTCTATTGAATACTGTTTATTATATCACTTAATTGACGAATGACGAATTATTCGTCATTGAAGAATGATGAATCCATTTCGTCAGACAACTTTGAGTTGACGAAATTCATGACGAATAACAAAGCTATGACAAATGATAAACTTTAACTGTAATATTAGGATTCATTGAGAAGTTAATAAACTTTCTAGCATACACGACATTACCGATGATCTGCATTAATCGCCCGGATGTATTCGACAGGTACGAGGAAAAAAACTATCGGTAATAAAAATATTTTTAGCTTCAGATTCAAGTGAAATTAATTTTTATATGAATCCATTAACTTTTATGGTGTTAACTTTTTTATAACGAACTTCATATTTATCGTTAAAATTTACGAAATAACTGTAATTATGAAAAAAATTTAAAATTCAGAATTTCCAAAGGTCATTATAAAGAAACTCGTTGAAAGAGAGGCAACTGATATTCCTAAATTTTATTGGTCAAATTTATTTCGTCAATAATTTCGTCAATCGTCAGAATTTCGTCAGACGAATACTTTGACGAAACCATTTTGTCATCATAATTAATGTCACTGCACTTACATTACTATTTCTTATCAAACTTTAGAGCAGTGATTATTAAGAATTAAGTGATATTATAATTATGTACGTACATATAACAAAATTTATAAGTAATTAGGTTACAATAAGGTACATACGTACAAAAAATTTGTAAGTAATCAGGTTACAATCATGCACATACGTACAAAAAATTTTAATCAGGTACATATGTATAAAATTTATAAGCAATTAGGTCACAGTTAGGTGCATACGTACAAAAATTTATAAGCATCAGGTTACAATCAGGTACAAATTTATGAGTAAAGTTCATAATAATAAGCGATTCATAAGCAATTCATTATCGGACTTACAACCTCCGATCAAAAAATCTCTTTTATTCTCAATAATCACATAATTGATTGGCTCAAATTTTATTTAACCTAATCACTCACACTAAATCATCACGAAATTGGAGATTTTCGCCCATATGATACACTAATGCATAATGCCAATCTCTATGAAGCACTGCCATTTTATTAGTCATTATCGTTATCTCTCTTAGGGTTCTAATAGTCATTCAGAAAAAATGATCTGCCGCATTACGGATGCAACTTCTGAATTTTATCAGAACATCCATTTACTTTTGTATTCAGATAATATGGGCCATTTGCTAGGAAAATCAATGTTTGAAAGCAAGTGCCAGACAGTGATTTCACTGCAAATGTCCCATATTTGTCGGACTATCCGGATATGTATCTGATTTGTTTATACGATTTGGATTATTTGAATAGTTCAGATACAAATGGATCTCGACACTAAAGAAAAAAAAATTCTCACGACAAATTAAAAAGCACTCTTTTTTTAGCCTATTCTGTATTGTCTTTAAGTTCGAATAATTAATACTGTGAGAGGAGTTAAATTTCAAAGATTAATCATTTTCTTAGATTAGGTTAGTCGCGCAACATGTGATGCTGCGCAGGACCTGTACGATCATATGCGACGAAGTTAGTTTCAGCCATAACTTTAAATAAGCTTATTCATTCTGATTATTAACAATAGTTAAAAATTAAGATGTTTATTGTATTACTCTACTACTTTATTATTTTACCAAAAGTTCTTAAAATATACACCATTTTTTATATACAGACAACTAGGGTTTTTTGCATGTTTCAGACACCATAAGATCTGATTTTTAGGAGACTTTGGACTACTATGTTGGCTTTATATATCTTGTATATAAATATCACTAAGCAATTGTCTTTTTATACTTTTTTATATATAAATTTATCTTTTTCTTTTTGTGCAAAAACTCAAGATTTTTTCACTTGATCCTCAAAGTGTATTTTAATCATCGAAGAATTGTACTTAAGAAAAAAAAACCTGTAAGTAAACATTTATCCCCTGAAGAATCATGATATACATAATTAACCACACATACGATCAATCCCGAATGCTGATTGTATATCGATATACGATTAATATGTAATACCACAATTCTTCAGAGTATAAATTTTTATCCCTTTTGTGTGCTCATTTGTTAAATTATAGCATTATAAATTTTTTTCTATCCCTTTTGTGTGCTCATTGTGAAATTATGAAATTTTTTTTCTCGATAGCGATAGGATTAGTGTGAAGTGGCAAATCATACTAACTAAAGTATAGTACGAATTTAATGTGTTGGATTACCATTTATTTTATGTACTTTGTTATTTCTCTATAGCTTCTATTATCGAACAAACCAAAGAATCAAAAATTTTACATAGTGACTTAAGCGACAACATTAAAATGTGTATCTTCTGAAGCCACACACAAACAAAATTCACACGATGCATAAACTGTACCATAAACGGGAATCTAAAGCCTGGTACCTTACGAAATTACCCGATACGTGTCCCATATTATTCCGAACAAACCCGACGAAGACAAAAAAACGAAATATAAAAACGGTTATCTAAACCCGTCTTGATACACTAAGTAAAAGTGTCGGAATTTTTTTGGACATATGTCCAATTGAAATTGGACATATTTCCAAAAAAATGGAAATCAATTGGACATTGTGACGTGTCATCCATGCCTATGTCTAACTCTAACCCTAATATTAATTAAAAATTGGAAAACCGTAAGTTGTTAGGTTTTAGACGTCCCCCATAAACGGAAATACCTTCTAAAGTAGGAAAAATTTGGCTAACCAAAAAGTTAAACGGAACTATCCCTTACATATTTCATGATCGTACTGGTAAAATGATCGTTGTGTAACGGAAAATCATAAAAAAAATTACCCTAATTTTTTTTAACTATGGGATTATATCGGTTTTTGTTAAATTAGTCAATCAGACACCATGATCGCTGCCACGACTATTCTACCTTATAACATAATGGTATTAATTTTAAATTATTGATCGTTGATTGAACCACAATTCTTTCTGCCATCATGTTACCCTTGTCAATACATACGCACTTTCTATACCGTACTATCCTTTAAATGACTCTTTTGTTAAATTACAAGTTAATTTTGTTTGAACATTTTAGTATCATACTCATTTTCGATTACAAACTATCGTTGCTAATCGAAAAAAATATTAATATATATATTAAGTCGAGATATAATGGCTTACTCCCCTTTTTTTGATTCTTTACCAATTACTCATTTTAATTTCTATACATCTTAATGGATACCTTCTCTACTCATAAAAATTTTGGTCGAAAATTCAATAAACCTTTTATTTTATATCTTATTATCATTGCTATTATTTGCTATTGTTTCTATGATGGATATAATAGATTTCAGGATGTTGAAAACAAAATTGAACGACGAAAAAAACCCTCGAACGGTCCAGGAAAAAACCCGAAAGGTTCAGGAAAAAACCCAAAGCAATCACCAGGAAAAGGTCCCTTTGGTAGTCCTATAATAGTCAATTTAATTCCACCTAAAAAATCAAGCACTGCTAAACAACCAAAATCTGCTCAACAAGACGAAGTTGTTTCATTAATGCAAGTTGCACTTGGAGACATAGGAAATAAAATTCAAAAGAGAGATCCAAGAGTTCCAGCTGGAAGGCCAGATAAACCAAATGGAAAGTCAAAAAATCCAAATGGAAAGTCAAATCCAAATGGAAATCAAACTGCAGAAAATCCAGAATACATTAATGTAGTTCTTGATATAGCCTCTAATGACTTTGTTGTAACCAGTCAGTTTTGCCAAAGATCAGGCTGTAAAAACCGTAAAAATGTCTTTGATTCGACAAAGTCAAAATCTTTTAAAAGTTCAAGATTCAGAAAAGCCCCAATAAAATATTTTGACGGATCTAGTGTTTCTGGACAATCTGGTATTGACACCTTTAGATTTATTACTTCTAACACTAAATTTCCGAAAACAAAAATTATCTTAGCAAAGCAAATAACTGGTCCCCTTGCGAAACAAGCTGAAGTTGAAGGTGTTATGGGATTAGGAATGAAATCTCAGGTAATTAGATTAATCATAATTAATGTTATCTTAATATTATCGTTATAATATTATATAAATTTTCTAACATTTATAAACCATTTAGATATGGAATCAATTAAAAAAAGCTAGGTTAGCTCAATCTGTTGGAATCGCACTTCCCCTAGGAAAATGCCAACATGGTTCAATTGCATTTGGAGGTTCAGATTATAGATTTATTGAAGGTTTGTAATAGTAATTGTTACTGTTATTAAATATTAGATAATTTATATGATTTATATACTTTAAAAATTTTTATTGTAGGACCTTTGTATAATGCATCATTAGATATTAAGAAACCAGCTCATATGTCAATTAACGTATTATATATTGGAGGAATACCTGTTAATGCAACTGTAATTGATGCAATTTTTGACCTTACAAATGACAAAATTTCTCTTGGAAAGGCTTCTCGTGAATTTTTCAAGCAATTTAAAGCTAAAAAGGTTAGAGATGGATATAGAGTGCCAAAGCCACTTGAAGTATCTTTTGATGTGACATTGGATGATGATCAAATAGTGCAATTTACATTGCCAAATAATACAATCTGTGAGGGTGATGATGGAACAGGAAAAGGAAAAGGAACAAAAAATTGTTTATTTATTTTTGATGACAAAGGTGGACCTAATGGTGAAGTTATACTTGGAAACTCATTTCTTAAGGTAGATACATATATATTTATTTTTAAAAAAAATGTAAAGACTATTAAAGAAATTAAACCAGCAATTTGCTTAGAAATTTTTGATAATGTTAAATATTTCTGGCATACAGTGTATATTAACAGTTATTCATTTTTATTTCTAAGTTTTTTTACTTTGTTATCGACCGAGGAAATCAACTTTTGAAATTTGCTGATAGAAAACCTACTTGCCCACCTCTTATCCCGCCTGTCACGGCTGCAGCTGCAGTGGCCGAACCTAGCGCAGCGAAGCATCCTACACATACTCATCCGAAACATACTGGTAAATCGAAACATACTGGTCAACCAAATTCACCTGGTGATGATCCACATCATACTGGTCCACCAAATCCACATACTGGTCCACCAAATCCACATCATACTGGTCCACCAAATCCACATACTGGTCCACCAAATCCACATACTGGTCCACCAAATCCACATACTGGTCCACCAAATCCACATCATACTGGTCCACCAGATCCACATACTGGTCCACCAAATCCACATCATACTGGTCCACCAAATCCACATCATACTGGTCCACAAAATCCACCAAATCCACATCATACTGGTTCACCAGATCAACATCGTGATCCATCAAAGCCACATAAAACAGGCTCTCACGGTTCCGATCACGGTGGTCACGGTTCCGGTCACGATCACGGTCCCGGTCACGATCACGGTTCCGGTCACGATCACGGTTCCGGTCACGATCACGGTTCCGGTCACGATCACGGTTCCGGT